CTGATTTACTAGCATAGTTAATGCAGCATGGGATATGGAAGATCTACCTCCAACTCTGCCACCCCTTTGCTATATAAATCTGGGAGGAGTCCCTTAACTGCTTGATACCAGTTTTCCTCTTCTGTACAGTGTGGATATACTACGTGCCTAGAGCTGAGACGTACTACAGGGAACGGCTGTTAGCACTGATAACTTTATCAACAATCATAATGGGTCTTCCTAAAGAGGTCTTTTACTGTTGCTGTCTCATCGTAGCATGCTGCGTTTGAACAAGATTTATGCAAAAGATGAACGCACAAAAAAAAATAGTGCAAGCACTATTATAGTCCAGGCCAAGCGTGACACGTGGATCTACAATCACAGCCAACCCAGAGCATTCAGACTTCCTTACAGCAGAGGGAGATTGAAAAAAAAATGAAAATGGAGAAAAAGACAGCTCAGGGGAGTAATAATAGAAAATTGGATAAAATGAGGTCTGTACTGGTCAAATCCAACCTGGTTCAATACAGCTGACAGACTGTCATCATCTGAGAGCCTTTGTGAATTGATGGATGGGTCCTGTGCAATTGGGAGTTGATTCCTAGCTCATGCACTTGATTCCAGCTAGCTGTTAGCAGGCTCAGCAGGGAGGCTATGGGGAACAGCCCAGTCTCTCCCCTCCAGATGTTGAGGTTTGCACTACTGCTGCCAAAACTCTACCAAGTGTGGAGATAAATAGCAGACTTCAAACACTGAGGCTGTCATTCTGGCATCTTTCACCAGAACTAAAAGTTGGAGGTTAAGTTTCATGTCCTTGAAACTTGAACATTTCCTTAGAGAGAAAAGATATTATGGTTAAGATACTGCATCGGGATGCAGGAGACCGGGTTCAGATGTCAGCGCTCTCACTCCCCATTGCTATGTGACATTAGTTACTTAATTATTCCATGCTGTAATTTTCTCCTCTGTAAAATGGAGATAATAGAATTTCCTTTCTCCAACCCCTTTGTGTGTTGATATGGTTAACTCTTTGAAGAAGGAATTGTTGCTCATTATATATTTGTATGGTGGGACTCCAGTCTCAGTTTTGGCCACTAGATAATACTGTAGTACAAATAATAACTATAATCTCATTTCCTCTGAAACTACTGAGTAAATGTTATGAAAAAGTAAAACAAATCTTTAAAAATAGCCCAGCCAGCTACATGTAAATAATATTGGTGCATGAAGAGACTATGAACCCCATCCTGGGTAACTATAGAAGAAAAAACTTGAATAATACTTACCACCACTATGTAGCGTGGCCTGTACTGGATAGTACCGAAGAGGCCAAGGATAACAATGATGATGTGGAGAAAATTGGCTAGAATAGGAGCCCATTGATATCCCAGGAAATCAAATACTTGTCTCTCTAATGCAGCAAGCTGGAAGAGAGGAATTATAATTTTAAGACTTATTACAAGGCTCGCAATGTTTAAGCTCACTTCATCAGCTCAAATGTCTCTGCTGTTGCTAGTATCAGTTCATCACTAGGAGTGTATATCAAATTTAGGCACATCCATTTGCATTGCATAGACCCCCCAAGCCATCCCGCCCCCTCAGAAAACACTACCTCCAACAGAAAGATCCTGCAAACACGTCAGTTTTCCAGGAGAAGCATGATGCGGCAGTGTTAATCAAAATGAGATCTTTTTGTTGCTGATAAAATATATTAATGTTAGAGCTTTACGTCCATATTTTTTTCAGGAGGCCGCATTCAAAAATACACGCACATTTGTGCCGGATGGAATAAATGATTGCACCTAGACTTCTAAATGGCCATTTAAGCACTGAATTGCTGCAATGGTACACACAACTGTGTTTGCAAGTTAGATGTGAGGTTTCACACCAACCTTCAACATCCCACTAGGCCTTAAAATAAAATATTCATGGGCCAAACAACAGGATGGGGGGTAGGACAGTGCCTCACCCATCTTCCTGGAACCGACTTTTTCATAAGAAGCATTTTTCCATCTCAAATATATGTGCCAAACCTGCCATGAGCATCAAATCTTTCAGTGAGCAGGGAGATAAGGCAGAGTTAACCACATTTCCCTTACAGCATGAGAATTCAAAACATACTAATTAGCATACTAATTAATTGCATTAGCACAACTCGTTTATTTTTGCCTTAAAAAATGCAATAAAAACTTACCAGCAATAGCTAATATTAACTTTAGCATAATAGCTACTTTTACCCAGGGGCATCGTACAAGTGCAGAGGATAGATCTGAACATCCAAAGGACCTTTGGTTTTCTATTAGGATATATAGTGCATACCCTAAATACTTCCGGTGGATGATCTTAGTCTACTTAGAGCTGTTACATCTCAAATGAGGCATCTTTCTCTAGGTCTGCCCTGTATGCTTAGCAGAAGAGTTTTTGCAGTGGCTTAAAGCATTCAAAGATGCTCCCTGTATCCTTCTGAGCTAGTCCCATGCCCCGGGGAAGCAACATGAGGAAGAATGCCTCTGCTATCAGATGGCTGCTATTCCTCCTCCTCTTCCCCGGGTGACAGAGTAGGGAAATCACCTTCATGCTTCCCTTTGGCTGGGACTATGTCAGAAATGGAAGTATATCCAAAAAGAAAGTGTGCGCAGCTATAATGCCAGTGGACTTCGTTCTCTTTGCAGAAACCACTGGCTTGGAAAACTGAAGGGAGTTCAGCCAAATCTATACTTTAAAGAGGTAAACAGGTTTCTAGTTAAAGGGGATCAAAAAAGTGTTGCTGCTAAGCTGTTTGTCCTTAGTGACTGCTATCTGCACCAGAGAGGAGGTGTAGGGATAGGGGGAGGGGAAGGCAGCCTCCAAATCGAACTGTATTCTCCAAAACAAGTTAATCCTCCATTTGAAGTAACACACTCTCATATTTTGATCTATATGAACAGAGGGGAAGCTGCTGCAGAACGTGTTACAGGGTACAAGCAGCATCTGGGCCTTTGAAATGGGAACGGGGAGAATATTACCCATTTCACAGTTCAATTTGGAATCCTTCCCAGAGCGCAAAAGATTTTCTGTATCTCAACAGAACCAGCAGTAATAGGTTAAATGCTTAATCTTTTCGTAGGGGATTAACGCACATACCATAATGACATGTAGCAATCCTGAATCCTGATTGGCTGGCCACAGGTCACTTGACTGTGACTGCTTCATCCAATCAGGCATTTAATTGGCTTGCTGTGTTACATTTGCACCCAAATAGGACCACAGAGAGACAGCCCCACAGTATAGCATTAAGTCCGTTATCCAAGGAGACACAATGGGTTGTATGGTGTGAAGAGATAACGCCCCACTGCAGCTGTATGAAGATGAAACATTCAGCGACGCCTCTTGCCTCCAGCCCCAGAAAGGAATGGGTAGATCTCTATCTTAGCCAGCAGGGCTTTATTGCCATTAATGATGGCTCTATATTGTTAAAATCATATGTTGCCAGTTCAAAGAAGTGCTGCTTGTTCGTAAAAGAACCTCTGCTGACGGGGCTCATGTGACACTAACAGGACTTCAACATCTCCTAGCAATGACTTCTGTTGGGTACTTTGATTCACAGGGGCCAGGAACAATGAACTCTCTGTTGCCTGTATCAAACAAATTATCTCAATGGTTTAGGTTAGATTTACAGTTGCGTGGAAGAACAGAGCTGTGTCCAAGACACTGTCTGCATGAGCTGTAGCATCAAAATTGTCTGCTGCAGAAAAGACACAGCATGGTAGGCAAGGGGGAAGGGGCAGAGTGTCTAGGGTGTTATGTGCTGGCAACTCTGAGCAGCTGCAATGTCCCATCAGGACTGATGCAGCCCCAGCAAACTTGAAATAGCAAAGGTACCTTTTCTCTGTCCCTGGGCTGCTGTTGGCATCAGTTCAGGTATTTGCCAGTAGTATCTATGGGAAATCCTGCTCATGCAAACAGACATGCAGTTGCAGTGCATAAAAGGGGAACAATCGTGGTGTGTACATAGGTCCTATAGGTCAATTCAGGTAGTCTGCACTCATTGAATGTTGAGGTCCCTATCCAGGCAGGCTTTCTTCCTGTGATCTTAGGAGTTATATCCTGTTTCATACACCCCTTTCCCAGACTGCTCTCTCCTTTCCCCACTCTGTTACCTTCCTCCCTGGCTCTTCCTTTGGGATCTGCACTTTAATAATAATCTTTGAGAACTTTCAGTCCATTTAATTTGGTTTTTTTCTTTTCTGTTTTTTAATTCTCCTCTCTTGATCCCCACGATGGATGATAGTTTCTTTAGCCAATTTCTTTTGGCCCTTTCTGCCTATTTAAGAAGCATTTCATGGTCCTAGGAGTGGGCATAACAGACTACAGTATGAGCAGGGGACAGGTGAATGAGTTCTGCTCTCTCGTGACAATAATAACAGTGAGTATTAGGTAAGTTACTTCATTCCTGTGGCTCTTTCCTTCTCAATAAATATTCTGTATGGCCACTTCAGATGAAAGACTCCATGTGGTGTCAATGCAAAGTGTTACTGTTATTGTTAATATTGTTCAATCAGTAAGTATTTATGCTGCAATACAGCTGAATGAAATGAATCCCCAAGCAACATCAGGGATGTCTCTTAATCTTACCCAAGGATTTTGGACAAGTAACAAAATATTTGCTTAGAACAGAATAGATAAGCAGCCATGTAATTCACTGGACTACAACTGTGTGTGAAGGGTACAACCATTAAACTCTGCCAAGGTTAGTAGATAAACTGAGCTAAGCTTGTGTAAATCTGGACTCAATATGTGGTTGGGCAACAAGGCATGAAAACAGGAAAATGGAACTACATCCATTAGCATCCCGTGATGAGTCCGTGAGCTCGGCCAGCAACTAGCAGTGGGGGGAAAGAGGTATGGAGCTATGCGTGTGCACATGTGGACACCTCCTTCCCCGCATCCAGCCTTTGTATAGAACCTATTCCAAATTTGTGCCTAAGAGTACTAGCTCTTATGGAAAACTCCTCTGGAATAAGGGAAACGTAGTCTTTCTATTCAACATTAACCCATCTGATTGGGTTAGAGCAGGGGTGGGCAATTATTTTGGGTGGAGGGCCGCTTACTGAGTTTTGGCAAACCACTGAGGGCCACATGACAGGCAGCCAGGGGCAGATAAATATTAATTTTCTAAAATTTTTAGGGGTCCCGTGAGCCAGATAGAATGGCCTGGCGGGCCGCATCCGGCCCACGGGCCACATTTTGCCCACCCCTGGGCTAAAGACGATTTAATCCTAGCGCCCTATAAAATAGCTAATAAGATTCCTTTAGAGACATTCATTTCATTATATTCTGAGGAACAATTTTAAATGGAAACTATACAGAGCTGCATGTTTTCCATTCCTTTCAAATTTGATAGGACCTTTCCATCACAGAGGGAAGAATCTTACTTTCCAAGAGTATTTCCGTTATGAAAAGGCCTGCTTTCCCCCTTCTTAGTTCTCTAGCCCATAAACCATTCTTCCTTTCATTTTCTGAATATTAAATGAAAAAGAAAAAGCTGTTTCCTTCAACTGATTTGTTACAGTGCTAAAATCTGAACAGTTGTTATTGACCTTCCTCTTATGAAATAAGCCACTGTTCTGCTGACGTGAGTGAAACTGGAGGAGCAATAATCATGTGAAGTATTTGTTAGGCAAATGAAACCAGCCACAAAACTCTCTTTTGGGCCATACTTCATTTATACAGCTGGTAGCGATAGGGAAGGCAGTATAAGATGTCTAATTTGTATGAATTAAGGTCAATCATACAACTTGCATGTAGCAAGCTTCCTCTTCCCAAGTTGCGAGCAGGAGCCTCCACAATATGGAGATGCCGATCATCCAGTGGTACTGAAGTGTTACTAGAGAAGGGTGTTGTAGCTAAGGTGAAGGATGACCCTCGTCAAATAAAGCTGGATGAAAAATAGAAAAAATAATTTTTGCAAAAGTGTCTCAAAGTGTTGAACTTCTCATTGCCAAGGGTTAAAAACGCAATAATTTTTAATTCTTGGAAAATTTTGGTAGCAATTCTTTTCCTGGGAGCGAGGTCATCTTTTCATTTCCTCTTTTTCTACTTACTGAAATAAACCAGGCAATATTCATTGTTTGAGCATTTCTTTTAAGGTTCTTGGTTTTATTTCTTTTTAGTTTTTCTGTTGCTATTTCTATCTGATGGAAAGCCAAGGAAGTTTGAAAGAGTTTCAGAATAGACAACAGAAGCAATGTACGGTGGTGGTTGCGGGGTGGGAAATCCTGAAACCCCTGAAATCAGGGTATCCTTCATGATGTTACAACTTATGGCAAAAAATAAAGAAAAGTGGTGGCAGAGAGGGGCAAAAATTTAAACAACAAAACCCCCAGCATTTTGCCATTTCCAGGGTTGTACTTAAAAAAGCAGAAAATCTGGGGCAACCCCCGCC